ACTGTCTGGTCGACACACATAGATAGAGATATGTTCAAAGATGGGATGATAGATGATGTTTACATTGTCTGGCAAACAGAGGTGGGATGGTGGAACGTGAGTGAGACAGGGAGATATTAGATAGGGTGGAATAATTTGATCAGTAATACAAATGGATACTGTTCGATGATGTTCACGTCGTCATATGAACGGGGTTGGGGATGGTAGAAAACGAGAAAGAGGATGGAATGGGGCGAAGATCTAGTGACGTTCACATCATTAGACGACAGGTATATGGAGATAAATGCAAAGGGAAAGGACGATGTTCATGTCATCAGATGAGCGTCACTGGTCGAACAAGTAGATGATGGGATGATGAAGGGATTACATAGCTGGGAAACCAACATTTGGCGGTGAGTAACGACAGATATAGTAAAGCTGTGTCGAAGTTACGTACCAAGAGCATTATGTGTCTTTTGCTGGACTATGGTGTTGTTGCTGCAGTTGGGATGATTAGGGTTTGAAGTTGACCAAAGAGCCAGTATATTCTTAATGAGCATAGGATGTTAACAGTACGTGGGATAACATAATGGGACAATCATGGGGCATGGGGACATTTCGCCTTCTTCAACACATGTGATAGATGCGAATTTCAAAGTTGGGAAATAACACTACTGTCACATATCACAAAAGAGGAATAAATATGGGTCAATCTACTATACGAAGTGACAGAAAAGCTCAAGGAAATCAAGCATGCATACAAACTACTGCTGGAACTAGGTCACAAACCAGGTATCTGATTTCATGCCCTAGAGGGAAGGGCAGTCATTAGTCTATCCCTTGTGAGCCAGGTGCTCTCACGTGATTGTGCTGGAAAGGTAAGGTCGATGTCATGTCCCATGACTTTCCTAATCCATTCGACCTATTTCCGACCCATCCCGACTTATCCCGATATACCCGACAACTTCGGGTTGTACTTAGGCTTTCCCTTCTTCTGCTTCTTGTGTCCTGCTCCCCGATCCCGATCCCGAACCTTCGGATTTGATTAGTCATTATGTTCACCTTATATCCGCTTTCTGTCATACTTCGCCATTTCGTCATCATTTGTCTATCATTGTCAACTACTGTAACATGCTTCTTTGTCATTTGCATGTCTTACATAGTAATCCTGACATCTTTCTTTTGCTGCGCGTCGGGATTCCCGAAAACTCGACGCTAATCCGTTTATATCTATCCTGGACTTTCAGTATATAAACCCATGTAACTCTCCTATAGTTCTTTAGTTCGAATATCAATAAGATCCCAATCCCGTTACCCCTTACTTCTCTGAATCTTCCTCTTAAGTTCTTGAGTTGATCTCAGGACTTATAAATCTGACCCCCCTCCGCAAATCAAGGGACAGGACTCGCATACAAGTTGAAGCCAAAGTCCCTACCCCCTCAGACACATTCCGGACCTCCCATTCCCGATACCCGATTACCCGATCCTTCGGGTTCACTCCGAACCCTTCGGGATTGAATTGGTTTCTGACAGTCGATGGTATTATAAATTTACTAGGTGATCTAGGCCACAGTCCCGCCATAGACTAGTATGCATAAAGTGCAGAATACTGATGTGTTGGCTGCCATACCACTGCTCGATCTCATGTTCTAGAACTCTGCTCCTGACTAAGACAAAGTCACCTGGAAAGAGTCTAATCTGTAGGTTGAGTTGGCATAAATATATATAGCCACTGCTAGTGAAGGATCCTGCAGTGAATAAGCCGGCATAGGAAAATCGAGGGTCTTGGGAGTCCATATGTCTCCCAGAGATTCTATTGAATAGTACTTCTCGTCCCTCCATTAATAGAGGGTCAATGGTGTTCAGAAGCTTCAAAGAAGGGTGTTTCTCAGAGACCTAGCACAGTTTGGTGAGGGCCTTGAAAAAGGCAGGGTTGACCAGTTCGATAGCTTTGTTGATGTGGATGGACAGATCTTGTAGTACATCTAGAAATTTGAGGGCTTTGACAAAGACTGTTCCACCAGATATGATGTCTGAGGAAGGAAGGATCTCGCCGTGTTTCTATTGTGGTCAGTTAGTTATTCTAAAGGGTTATATTTGACAAGTTCTGCTTACCTCTTGCCCTAGGGCAAACCAACCCCTTGAAAGGTGTATTTCTCCCATAATTTCTCCGTCTCTATCCAGGTACTTACCAGCTTTGTCGGCACTGGTGGCAGATTTTCCAATATGTGGTTTGCAATATATTGCATACTCGAGGGCAGCTTTAGTAATCTTTGTCTATTGGATAGCTCCCAGTTAGCCCACTTTTAGTATAAGTTGTTGGGAGACGGACCACTTTAATATGGTTTATTAACCGCAGCATGTAAACGGCCATTATGTAACTGTCTTCGCTGACAAGTTTTCTCGGAGTGTTGTCCTCCCACACCATGGATTTGGGACAGGGTTTGGTACAATGAGATACAGCCAACCTGAAGCTAAATGGAACTGTGACTAGTACTCGGTCAATTCCACTGTTGTCCGGGATTATCAAACCAGGTTGGTCTTACCAATGTTAACACTCATCCATGATATCATGTTTTTTACCAGCCTGACATTGGCAGTAGGGTTTATTTTACAATGTCCATTGTTCTTTTTTCTTCTCCTAATAGTAGTATTAGTTCTATAATATCATAAAGAGTGAGTTGTTGTACATACTTAGACACTGTGACACCCTCATCTTCTGACTGGGGAATATTAGATAGATCACTGTCAAATAGAGTGACAGTCATCTGATTGATGACACTATCAGCCAATGGTGCTGTATACCTAGAAAATGTTGAAACAACCATTACAAAGTATGATAAAAAAGATGTACTCTTCTGTAGCATCTTGGTCAGAGTGTCCAATTCATTTGATGGCAGCATGGTAGACATGATCTTTAGAAGAAGTTTCTTAAATCTTTGAGATCTTTTTTGGGGTTAATAAATTGTTTAAGATCAGTATGTATTAGGGTGAAATGGAGGGTCTCCAAAGCATTGCCAGACTGTTCAGCATAGCGACCTGTTAAGTCAGTAGAAGCTTTGAAGCTTGACAAATGCTGAACAGGGATTCTTGTTGCCCGTGGAGCCAGTAGAAGCTCTGAAGCTCCACACAGAATCTGATGGCAATATGTGTGTATGAAAAAAGAGGGTATATATTACCTTGGGCATTGAGAACTTTGGCTTGCAGCAACAAGGGGATGGGTGTTGGTCTGTATAAAAACTGTCGACCCAAGAATCAGG